GCTATTATTGGGGTTTGCGCCTTCTCACAAGGCTCTCCGGGCCCCGCGGCGGCCCCTTTGAGCTACTCTTTCCGCCTCTCTCGCCCTCGGCGTCCTCTCGCTCCCGCTTGCCGTTCTCGAGCCCCGTTTCATTCCCCTTAGCATCCCTGTCGTCCTCCTCCTCCACCTCCTTCTCTTCCTCCTCTTCCTCCTCCTCCTCCTCCTCTTCCTCCTCTTCCTCCTCCTTCTACTCCATCTCCTCCGCCGCGTCGCCTCGTTCTCTTCTTCTCGCCGGCTACAACACGCCGTCTCTGTCCTGTTTGTTTTTCCTCGCGTCGTCTTCCGTTTGCTAAACGCACCTTAAATTACGCGGCCGATGATAAATATTTGAGCCGTCCATTACGCGAAAGGCCCACTCGGACCCGTCGTCGTTCGACCGGCGTTACCTCCGATACGCTCGACATTAGGTTCCTCGGGGATATCGTGTTACCACGAAAAGCCGTGGCCGCGTGGTCGGCAACGCGTCGCGCATCCTGGATCGCATCTCGTCGATGGAGACCTTCGACGCGAGGGAGGATCCTCGACCACCGCACCGGGGTCCTGCGACTCGACGTGAGAGAGGATCGCGAAGGGAATTCTACTTCATCGCAATGTCGCGATATTTCGTTAAAATCTAACCGTCGATAAATGTTGACGTTTAAACAGCTGCGCACACAGTTAGGGAGGATCAGACCTACGCGCGTGCAAAGTAAGGATTAAGATACGCCACCCGGCTCAGCCGCGGATCCAGCTGTGAAAGAACAAAGTCGCACACAATAGGAATCACTACACTGATACGATTCGGCGCGTCAAACAAAAAAGGGGAAAAGGCGAAAGTATCAACACGGTGCATCCCGTCTTTCTGTTATTATTGGCCGGCCGGCGTCGACGGTCAGACAGGATCAATCGGATCCTGGACACTGGACAAGAATTTTAATCGTGCTCGCGCGGGATGTCCTGCGCCACGGTCCAGGACAATTGCCGGAATTGCCGTCGGGCGACAATCCTCCTCCTTAACATTTTCTCACGACGCGCGGCGCGACATAACCGCCGGCGACGTTACCGCCGTTACTTACACCTCGATATAACGAAATTTTATTTCTGATTCGCGCCACCGCAGCCGCCGCGCGAAAGTCAAAGTGCCTCGTAACAGGATTATGAAATGTTCCGGAGTAAGCGTTCCCGCGCGGATGTTTACTGCCCGCGAATACTCGTTGCCTTTTATTGCCCCGGCAAGAGTCTCAGCGATTTCTGGCATCGGCTCCGTTAACGAGCGACGTTTCGTACTTTCATTGAGCCGTAATTCTGCCTCTTTCCGCGTAGGGCGAATGCGCGCCGACCGCGGTAATGCGGCCATTGTGTCCCGGAAAAGTCCGCCGGGCTCGAAACCGTGTCACGTATTCCGGGATTCGCGGAGATTTGCGTCCGTCAAAAGCCGCCAACGACGGTTTGTTTGACGAGCCATTCTCTGTTTTTGCAAGACGGCTAATCCAGCCGCCGACAATACACCGAGGAACCCTTTTGATCTTATATTAATCTTATATAAACCTTACATAAACACGTAAATACGTCTTAACTCTGGATTTTATAAGGATAAATCAGCTTGAATTTTAACAGGTTAAGCTTCTGTCAGCTTCCGATGCGGACCACACCGGTGTGGGGGCGACGCGTTACCGTCTTGTCGAATCTCTCTTTCTCTCTCTCTCTCTCTCTCTCTCTCTCTCTCTCTCTCTCTCTCTCTCTCTCTCTCTCTCTCTCTCTCTCTCTCTCTCTCTCTTTCTCCCGACAATGCACTATAATTGAGCCTCAATTACGCAAACTGTCCTGTATAAAATGTCGAATTGAAATGTATTAAAAAGTATTGACATTTTGAATACGTCCGAATTCTGCTTTCTGATCCGAAGAAAGGTGAATTGAAAAGTATTAGTTCCCATTAAATTTCACCGCGCTAAATGCGAGACGGCAGTGGTGTGAATGCTTCGCATTAAAAAGGACTCAATCCATTTCACATATGCCTTGCATTCAATCGCAATCGACAATTTCCAAATGCGAACTTTCGCATTGAAAAGTATTCACTTCTTCTCCTAATTGTTTTCGAATTCAGAGGCATACAAGATTTTCACGTTCTATTCCCCGTCGTCGTTGAAAAGTATTGACCCGCGATTCAAACCGAGATTTCCGCAAAGCAGAATTCACGACGAAATCTCGGGGATTGCGAAACGATACTTTTAAATATGACATTTTGTATAACGCAACGCGATACATACAATTCACAGCGAAAACACGACGCGACGCGACGCGATGCGCGATCGATCGTCGTCCGTGCTGCTGTTTTCTCTCGCGAACGAGAACCACACTTGTCCTGATCGCGACACGATCGCAAGCTATCGCCGGAATAACGCGTCCCGACGCTGTGTAAATTTGTTCGAACCAATGATCAGCCGCGTTCGAGAAAGATGTTTATTATCAGTGAACCGGGCGCTCTCTCTCTCTCTCTTTCTCTCTCTCTCTCTCTCTCTCCTCACTATGTACCTCGCGCCTCCACCCCCTTGCACGGTAAACTTGGACTTTCATATCAGTCGCGATGTAGCCGCGCTCTCGGTCTCACTCGTGCGCCACATTCCGTCATTCGACGTCGATCGGTCGCTGTTCGGCACGCTGGCCGATGACGCGCAGAACTATCAATCGCATCTTTCTCACGTGGATCGAACGCGTCGCGATGATCAACGATGGTAAAGTGCGCGCGTGCACGCGCCATCAGCCGCGATCGATTAAGCCGTGATCGGCGCGTGGTTCGTTTATGGATTTTCCTCCTCGTGAACTCTCATGCGTATCTCGTCAAAGTGTCTGACGAGATAACAGCGATACACGCATCCTTTCGTAAACATAGCAATGAGTGCGGTAACGCCTGCTAGCTGCTACTGACACTTGTTGAGTATCGATCATGTACGCTCTTCCGCATCACCGATTAGCTCTGACGCGATAATCGACGCGAGGAAGAAAAAGAGAATCGCGGATCGCCTGCAAATAATAAGTGTAAAGCTATGTAAAGTGCGTGAGGTTACATGGAATTGAGCCACGAGTACTCAGGCTAGAAGTAGCGGAGATACAAGGAGGACACTGAACAAGCGAAGAGGGAGAAGCTGAGGAGGAAGAAGAAAAGGAAGAAAAATAAGAGGAGAAGGGCGAAGAACGAGGCGCTTCAGGGCTCGCCGCATCCGTCAAGGTCATCCTGGCTCACACGCCCTGCGTGTTGCTTGTATCGCGGGGGTGTCGATGCATGTCTCGGGGGTAGAAAGTCATTGAGAATCTCTCCGCAGAGAATTCTGCAGACGGGTGTTGCGCGGCAGAAAGATCCATACCGCGAAAGGTGGGAGTGCGAGAAAGGCCGACGCACCCGCGATGAAGAGAGGAGCGGAGTAACGAGGTGAGACGACGGCGAGGCGACGAAGAAGAAGCGCGCTCCGATCGGCGATAGTGGAGCAGACGAGAAACGTGTGCAAGGAGCAAAAGATAGTCCAAGAAGGAGAGACGGACGGATGGACAGACGTACGTACGACGAAACAGCGCGCGAGAGAGTGAAGAGACAGAAAGGTCGAGGAGAAGAGAAGAAGAGGAGGGAACGAGAGGTCGATTGTGTCTAGTCGAAGGGAGAGAAAGCTAGAAGATCTTCCTCCACGAGCCTCTTTCTCTTCCTTTCTTGCACGATCGTTCTCTCTTTCTCTCTTTCTCCCACTCATTCTCTTCCTCTCTCTCTCTCTCTCTCTCTCTCTCTCTCTCTCTCTCTCTCTCTCTCTCTCTCTCTCTCTCTCTTTCTCCCCCCTCACACTCTCTCTTTCTCTTTCGCTCCTTTCTTCTTCCTCTTTCCCGCCACGTGCACCTGTCTTCGTTTACCTGGCGGACGCTCCGCCCCGGCCAATAGAGACCGCGGTAAACCTCGTGACGTCGATACGGTACCAGGAGGGCCCACATGGAGGGGACGTGATCATCCACCACCACGTCAGAAGTCCGCGAGAGCACCACGGGGACCAGCAGCAGCTAGCAGCAACCAGCGGCGGCGGTCCGGCCGGCTGTTGGTCGCGGGGTGGGGGCAGGAAGAGGGGCACTCTGGACCCGGTCGAGCCAAAGAAACAACGCGAGAAGTACCCCCCAAAACCCATACCGCATTTCCCACCACCGGCTTGTCCGGAAAACGTGCCCTAGCTTCCGGACGGCGTTCGTCCGAGTTCAGTCAAGTGAGTCGACTCGCACGTACCTCTTTCTCCTCTTCGATGAAAATCGTCATCGTAGAGGGTTACACGCAACCGGGCGAGAAAGAGGCCGAGAGTGCTGGGCTGGTGTCGTTGGCGCGTGCAAGACGCGACAATTTAAAGGACTCGATTCCCCCCACCCCCACCCCCGATTTGCGTCTAGGATGTAGAGAGATATCGAGGGAAAGATAGAAAGAGAGAAAAAGAGAGAAAGATTCGTCCTCAGCCTCTTTGGAAATCCTCCTCCGATTCATTAACACGACACTTTGATGACACCCCTTGTAATATCCGTGTCCCATTGCTCCTTGATCGGTAACCAACGAGGGAAGACAACACCAATCGGTTCCTCCGATCCTCCGGAAGGTTCTTAGTCTCCAACATCGGTTCGCCGATCGATCGATCGATCGGTCGGTCGTCCGTCCGATCTGTCACGTCTCGCTCCTACTCACGTCCCAAGTCCTCCCGTTCGAACTCCCAGTGAAAAAGCCGGTCGTCCGTCGGCTGGTGGGTCGGTCGCGCGCGGTAATTATCGTGGACGCAACTACGGGGATCGCATCAGTGGTAAGAGTGCGTGCACGGGGGGGTGTGTGATGCCCCGGTTATGGTTAAGCGTGAGTGAGGTCAGTCGCAAGTGGCGGAGAAGAAGGATCGGTAGTACAACATCGTCCGGATTGTTACCCCCGTCGTCGTCATCGCCGCCACAGCCGCCGCCGCTGTTGTCGCCGTCGTCGTCGTCGTCGTCGTCGTCGTCGTCGCCGTCGTCGTCGTCGTCGTCGTCGTCGCCGTCGTCGTCGTCGTCGTCGTCGTCGTCGTCGTCGTCGTCGTCGTCGTCGCCGTCGTCGTCGTCGTCGTCGTCGTCGTCGTCGCCGACGTTGTCGTCGTTTCGACAGCCGTTCTGGAGACGGCGGGAGCAGTGACCGCCGCGCAGGGTCAACCTCAGCGCAGAGGCACGCGATTATGGTGCACCATCATCATCGTCGCCACGGCCTCCAAGCGAGCCACCGCTACTGCATCGTCGGAAGTCGCGTAAGCACGTGCGGCTCGCTCCTCCAGATACTGCTGCTGATCCTCAGCCTTTGGCTACCGGTGCTCGACAACAGCGGCGGTCTCGCCCTGGCGTGCGGACCCGGCAGAGGCGGCGGCCGACGGTCGAACCAGAGGAAGCTCACGCCTCTGGTGTTCAAGCAGCATGTGCCGAACGTTAGCGAGAACACGTTGCCGGCGAGCGGGCTCAGCGAGGGACGTGTATCCAGAGACGACTCCAAGTTCCGGGACCTGGTGCCCAATTACAACTCGGACATCATCTTCAAGGACGAAGAAGGTACCGGCGCCGATCGTCTCATGACACAGGTGACAATCGCTCTTCTCACTATCGGCATCCCCTCCGTCTTTGGGGACGGCGAGCGAAGGCGCGAATGGACGAAGAGTGTGTTGGACGCGGGAATGCTTACCCGAAGCTGAATCACTCGCCGTAAATCACGACCCCGATTTGTTGGCCCCGATCGCCCGCGCCGTAAACACTATTAGTTTATTTATCGAGCCTCGCGAGAGAGAGAGAGAGAGAGAGAGAGAGAGAGAAAAAGAGAGAGAGTGAGAGAGAGAGAGAGAGAGAGAGAGAGAGAGAGAGAGAGAGAGAGAGAGAGAGAGAGAGAGAGAGAGAGAGAGAGAGAGAGAGAGAGAGCTTACGTCACGCGCGACCCACGGATTACCAAAGTGCCGTGAATGTTGCTCCTTCGCTCGTTCGCGCCTTCGAATGTTCTCCGATACGTGACGTATCGGATGCGATGGTGTCGGGTATCTTTAGAAAACCGCACCTGGCTAAAAAACAGCGGAGGCTAAGGCTACTTACATCAGCGCCGCGCTCGTAAACGAAATAAAATTGCCATCGCGAGTACCCTCGCGATAACTCCGACCGGCAGCCAGCGCCGCCGGTTATTAATAGTCCGTGTTTTTTTCTAAGCGAGAGAGACGCGATCGCGCCTCGTATCGTCTCGGATAACGCCGCTCGAAACGCTCGCAATTCGACTCGGCGACCGCGTCATTTGTTGCGAGGGTGTTCTCGAAGCGGTAGCTGCGATGTCACCGATGATAAAGCGCAGCACACTGTGTCGAGTCGCGCGATAAAGACGGCCGTCCTTGAGGTGGCCGACGCGTCGCGGTGAATCATCCTATCGCGAGCGATACGGCATTTAACGGGCGACATTGCGCGGCCGATCGATCGTTCGATCGCGCGCGTTCACGCGCGCTCTCTTTCGTCTCATATTAATTAAATCGACGATCGGACGCGACGTTATCGGGCTCGTCGGGTTTCCTCGTCGGTGTCTTCGTCCGGTGCGCGTTGGAGGGCGCCGATGCGAGAGACCGCGCGATGACCTTTTGCAATAATAGCGCCGACGATTCGCACGCGAGTCGGGAAGTACGTCGTTCCATGCGCATCGCGAAGTCGGAGGTCGAGATCGAGGATCGAGATCGCTCTGACGGCGATCCGGACATTTAGAAAGCCCTGAAGTGTCCAGCCGAAAAGGATGAGCGGGAAATCCCGACCGCGGTAAAATCAGAGAGCGATGCTTCCTCGCGTGTGAAGGAAATGAAGCGAGAATGCAAATTCTCCTCGGCATTATTGTCTCATGAAATAAATCAGCAGCGAGTAGGTGCGATTAACGCACGCGATCGCGCCGAAATGCAGTTGGAATTTTCGACGTGCGACTTTGGATCTCGCCGCTTCTCACGAAGGTGGGAGATTACGCGCGCGTCATTTCGACGTGCTATCCTTTCGTAATAATGTTTACGGAGCTGGCTCGGCGACGCGGTAATTTCCCACGTGACGATGCGAGCCGCAGCTAAGCGCGGGTAACGCGTGTTATTATTTTAATGCGTGTCACTGCAGCGCCGGCCCGCCGGCAAATGACAGACTGGCTGCTGCACGTCGTTAAAACGTCCGCGGGTGATTCACGCGAAACGCTATCCGCGTGATAAGCGGCCCGCGATCGCGGTCGCTCCGGGCCCGCGAATGAGATCGATAGTTGATATACGACGCTCTCTCTTACCTTGCCGCGCCGTGATGTTCCCTCGTCGTTCTTAATAACGATCCAGCCTCGAAGCCATCAGGAGCGGAAGCTGGTTTCCTCGGCGGCAAGTCCCGCGCGAGGAGCACGACGGAAGGGTATATATTGTAATTAACAGCTAAACAGAGAGTTAACGAGATCTCGCTCCAACGCTGCTTGGATGCTCTCGCGAGGAGATCTGAAAAAACAAGATCGGACACCTCTCTCAACAAGCGTGAAACGTTCGGATTTTTGCGCGACGATAATTACAAGCAAAAGTACCATTTACATGGCGAATTCAAACGTCAGTCAGCCGACTTGATTCACGACTTATTCCCTGCCGTAGCTTTAACGCTTTTAATATCGCTTTCTCGCTGCTTGACTATATCACAAAAGCTTGCGCCGCATTTTCAAGTAAAACAGACAAATCGCTTTTCCTCGCGAGTGTTTTTTCTCGCCGTCCTGATCAACGGTGAGCGAGGGACCGCCCGATCTCGCGCGGTTCGCCCGTCATCGCCTTCGGTAAATGTTTCTCTCTCTTTCTCTTTCTCTCTCTCTCTCTCTCTCTCTCTCTCTCTCTCTCTCGCTCTTTCGGTCGTTCACGAGATGCGCCGTGGCTAGAGCTTTATTCCTCTTCCATGGAGCCTCCATTAGTGCTTTATTCATGCATTTTTTATCGGTATTTGCCTTCCACTTGACGCCCCCGCGAAGCGTGAAACGATTCTCCTAACTCCGCGTCCGTTGTATTCCAATTTGTAAGTCGTCGTCGCGTCGCACAAAAGGCGGCTCCGGCGCGACGCCGCGCCGCGCACGGTGCTGCTTAGAGACGGACACACAAAATCTGAAACTTTCCCGAAGAAGAATCAAACGCGCCCGCGACGATATCTACGACATTCGCCAACGAATATACCTGCAGCCATGCCTACGACATCGTTTGTCGCAAGGAAATCACGTCGCGGGGACAACTGTGTATTTCCATAATTTTCTGTCGAAGAGAACTATGCCGCGCGCTTGTCTTTTGTTAACGGTAGCGAGAAACATCACGAATGTGACAAACATTACAAAACAGTAAGTTAATAGCCGAAGGCGTTCTCTCTCGGAAGTATTTCGCTCAGCGGGATTACTTTGCTACGTGCCTTCTGAACGAGGGATCGAACTGAGACCTCCTGGCGAAAAAGAGGAAAAGAAAATAAATTAACGTCGGAGTAGCGCGCGCGTTGGCAATTTTTTTGAAGAAAACCAGAAGAATTGTCCGGTTTTGTCGGTTAAGAGTCCCTCTTCGAGGCATCTATCGTGAATCGCGTCATGCTGCGCCCGCCGGTCGCCGCCGCTCGTAAACTAGCGGCCGAGGTGGAGATATCGAACAGGCGGACTCCTTCCTCGCCTCTTGTTTACCCGGGTTTCGCAAAAGGGGCCCTGTCTCTTTATCGGCATGCCGCTAGACGAACGTTGGACCGGCGCCGAATCTATCGCCGGGACGCGGCGTTTTTCACTCGTACAAATATTGCCACAAGATCGCCGCCGCGTCCGACTCTTCCTTACCTTTTCCCGACTTCTCAGCGTTATACGTCCGACGTCGCACGCTGTGCTTTTGAAGCGAACCGCACATTTGACCTAAGAACCAACAACATTGGACGTCGGTTTCTTTTTTCCTCAATTCCGGAAAAGCGACCGTCAGTTTCCGAAAGTCAGTTGTAAGTGATGGAAACACCGCGCTTCTTGATTGTGTTCAGAATTTAGTAACAATTCAAGCGTCAAGTGGTTTCTCGTCATATATTACACGTCTAACTGCCTCGTTCTCGTCCCGCTTTCATATTCTTTCTCTCTCTCTCTCTCTCTCTCTCTCTTTCCCTCTCTAAGTTCTTCCCGGAAAATCATCGTCCGATTTCCAAACGAAAAACCGATACCCGAGCGCTCGAAAGTTGGAAAGTCGAAAGAAAGCGCTTTCTCGCCGTGTATCAAAGTCGAGGCTCACCGCTGCGAATTCTCCGCAGAACTCGCTACCGAATTGACCGGAGCAGCCGATAAATCGGCGTTGCACTCGACGTTGCGCGAGTATATATTTATCCTGAAACTGGTCTGAAAGTGTTTGACCTGCCGATTATACGTCTCCGCGCTTGTCCGAGCATCGATGTCTCCCGAGCGCGAGCGCGATCCGTCGGTAGTCCGGCGGCGCGCTCGTTAGCGCCGTTTCGCGCGAGCGCGCGTACCACCTTCGTCGCGAAACGGAAATACGCTTTTCCCGGTCGCGAGATCGTCAAGCGGCGATAGCCTGTCCAATTAGCGCGACTCGCCGCGCCTCCACGGCCGGCCGAGTGTTAGATTCTCGACACTTCTTGCCTGTTCGAAGATAATGACGAGAGAGCATCGAGCGAGAATCATGCGTCGAAACGCGCGCTCGTAAAGCGTAAATCAAATGAGATATTTGCTCTCGCACAAAGCATAACGAAGTTATTCGCTACGGTGATTAATGGCCGCGCATGAGCCCGGAGATTTTCTTGCCCTCTCCTCACGCGAGCGAACCTCTACCTCTCTTGGTTAAATTAATTTTTAGCGCCTAAGCCACGAGACGCGCGAGCGCATTCGCGCGAAACCTCTCCCGGATGATTTAGCGCGACAAATTTATAATGACGCGCGGCACACGATGATCGTTATGTGCGACTCTCGGTATTAACGAACGCGCGAACTGCCCTGCGAATGCCTCGTTGCTCTTTCTTTCTCTCTCGCCTCCCGAGAAAATGTCATATACGCCGCGCGTAATCGCAACGATCAATATTAGTCAATTAGCTGGCAGGATGTACGGCAATAAATTAATACCCTGTATCTAGCGCTACATCGAGTGACCGAGGGTTAAGTGTTTCGCGCATAAATGTGCATCGTTAAACGATTTATTGCGCGTTCGTATCTATCAAATATATTTTTTTCATGCGCTTTGGTAATCATATCTAAAAATACTCGCTCGTGGAACATTTGTATTTTCTCTCACGAAATATTTATATTTAATAAGTCTCCTAAAATGTGTATAAGTATTCACAATCTACGGTCTTTAAATTGGGAAGTTTAAATAAGGAGCTTCCGTATAACGATATCAAAGAAATTCAGCATGTTTGGGACGACTGAAAGATGATAGGCTCTTAAAAGCCGCGCCTCCCAAGTCGAAATTTTCCTTCTACAATGACCCTGCAAATTCCACCGAACTTGAAGAGCCAATAGAGAATCTCGAGTTATAATACTATGCAAACTATTGTCTTACTTTAGTGCTATTGATACTTAATTGATAAATTGATACTTACTGTCATTTCCTCC